CCTTGCACGCCGGAAAGGTAGTTTGCACAAAAGAACGAATTGAGAACATTTCGTCGTCACTCGACGATATAAACCGTATCGCAAATGAGATCAAGGACCGGGAGCGTTGATAGACTCGTTCTTGTTTTGAGGAATCTGATAGAAAAGAATCAGCCAATATGAACCCTGCAAACAGAAAACCGCATACCAAGTTGTGGTCCGTCAAGTCATCCAATTCCACATTCAGTGTAGAATCGAGAGGCCTCTGATTGAGAATGCGTAGAAGGCAAATGATGTAGATCTTGGCGATACAAAAGTTTGCAAGTATGTACCTGGCATTTCGTGAGTCTGACCCATCCCATGATGTTCGATTGAAGCATAGCTTACACCTCGCTGTCATTCTTGAATGTGGCAGCAACCATAATGAGCTGGATGAATGCTACAGATGTTATGCTGAACGCAGTCCGGATGAGCGAGGATTGCCAGTAAAACGCAATTTGAGACCTAGCCAGTTGTAAGGAACAGTAAGAGCCTGATTAAATGATTGCTCGACGTACCCCTGGGTTAGCTTTTGTAATTTCTGAGACTTGAAGAGAGAGACGGTGATTGCCGCTGTCGCACAGACCAGAAGGAAGGCGTGGATCATTGCTAGTATTCATTAGTACACAAATATGCAAGATTAGATGTGGACTTACCTGACAACTTGATAGACTCCTTCTTTCCGACAACCTCAAAGCAAGTCTGACAAGATATATGAGAATATACGCCATACAAGGATAGATCGTACGCACCTGAGCAACCGCACTCGCCAAAGTGCCATTCATCAACCCAATGATAAGGGTGAGGAGGGCTGCTCTTCCTCTTTCAATATTGATGCGGCGGATGTACCATACTTGCACGATAAAGCCCATCACGACCGTCTACCGCGCAACTAAGTATAGGATGGCAACGAATTTGATATCAATCTCACCATAAGATAACATGTGGCCCGCACCCAGTCCCACTTGTCCCTCCATGTCCACAGATTGCTCTGAAAGATGGCGGCAAGA